GACTATCTATAAATATGTTGATTATTTATGGTCATGTTACATGTATTCATTGTATTTTAATATCATTTCTTATTATAACAGTTGAATTATAAATCTATATCTATACTTATATTATAAGCAAACATATTTACTAAATTCAGTATGTTGAATAGTCAACATTAATTAATAACTTTTTAATCTTATCAAGTGCATTAATTACGTGTAGTTTGGTCAAAAAAAAAATCTGATAAAATCAAGAAATAAAATGTATATAGTAAGATTTGATCACAAATCTTTTCTTATCTTTTTTCCAATTTGGATGTGTATTTTTTTTATTTCAGATTTTTTTGTTTCTAAAAATTCCATATTATTAAGGAAATAAATCACGCTCTCTCTTTCACAAATAAAAACAAATTTACAACTAATATAACTAACGCATCTCATAGTATTATGCAAGGAATAATTTATAATTATATTTATTTATAAAAGATGATAAGAATAGTTCAACATTCTTATCTCACTGGCAGATGAAAAGATATTCCACGTTTTAAAATGTTATAATCCTCAAATAAATAGTTTTCGTGCCTCGCACAGGTCACGTACTATATATCCCGTACATTTTTATTCATTTATATAATTACAAGGTTAGATATATAACCTTAAAATTGTACACCCCGTGCATCGCACGGGATCTGTACTAGTATATATTAAAAGCCAACCTATTTACTAAAAACAGTAGCAAGAAAAGTCAACACACATTTAATGCATACTTTATTTGGAAAATTTTTTTATATGCATTAAATGCTTGCATATTTATATTTATTATCCAAATATGATATTCAAGATTTTTTCCTTATATAATTTATGCAATGATTTTACTGATATCCATTATAATTAATATTTGTCGAGTAATATTTTTTAACCTTTTTTTAATTATATAACACTAATATTTTTTTAAAAAATTAATATTTCATATTATTTAAAAGATAATGATCACATCATTAAATGATTTTATTGATGGTTAGATAATAAAATTAATGTTATTCTTTAAAATTTCGACATGTTATTTATTTGTGTATTATTGTCAACTATGATAGTATTTTTATTACTTTTTTTTTGTTATGTTTAAAAAATGAACTTATTGTAAAATATTTTTCTATTGCATAGTATGTTAAATAAACTATAAAGCCTTAGGATAAAAATTAGAAAAAATTTCTTGATTATGTAAGGGATTTATTTTTTGGCAATTGCTAAATCATTTTTTTTTTTTAAAAAAAGTATTATTATGAGAAATTGAATTCTAAAAAACATGTGTGTTTATTTTGTAAATATTTATACTCAAAATTTTATTTTGAATTTCATTACATAAAGAATACTACTTCTACAACTTTTATAAATAATAATAATTACATTATATGACTGTAAATTTTATAATAAAATAATAATTGAGTATTATATGGTGAACAATAATTAATAAAATTTTTATTTTTTCCTATATCAATGAATAAATATGTATTCTAAAATCAAATAAATATTAGTATGGCGTGTTAGCAGAATTATATATTAATTAACATGTTAATTTTTTGGCTTAAATAAACGCCACTTATTAAAAGATGTGAAATATGGATGATCCAAGCTTATTGTTTTTTTGTCTAGACGTACAAGTCCTATAGAAATAATTGATTTATTTTATGTATCACGTGCATAACACGGGGTATGCACTAATAAATGACCTTAAAATTGTGCACCCCGTGCATCACCCGTGTTCACATTTTGGCCTATTACAGGTCACGTACTATATATATATCCCGTACATTTTTTTTATTCATTTATATAATTATAAGAATTGATAATGACCTTAAAATTGTGCACCCCGTGCATCGCACGGGCTCTGTACTAGTGTATTTTAAAAGTTAATAACTTTTTTATTTTTTATCGAGTTTACATATATAATATATCAAATTAGTTATCTTTTGATGAAAATCATCCATATTGTATTAATAAAAAAAATAAATTATATTTATTTTTATAACACTAATAAAATTGTTTTTTATTAATTAGAAAAATAAAATTATTTATCAATTAATATATTTATATTTCAAGTAGTTATATGATATAAGTTATAAAAGTTACTATAATATAACATATTTAAGTCGCACAATCAACAAGTGTCATTCTAAAATATATATAATAATATATATTTTTTTGTAAAAAAATAAACAAAATTTAAAATAATTTTTCTCATTAATTTTTAAATTTAAAAATAATTTTTTAACAAGCACTGGGTCTAGTATTTTACAAATTGACTTTTTGAGTTTATATAATTATTTGCCTTCTAGATAAAAAAAATGAAAAACTGAGATGTAATATTTGTTTTTGGGAGAAATGAAATAAACTTGAGATTCTAACTAAATATGAGATAAAAAAAAGTAATAATTAAAATTGATGTTATATATATATATATATATATATTATAAAATATTAATTTATAAGACTAAGAGTTAGAATTGTGTGAGTGTATGTATAATGCTTTTTTTTTTTTAAAGAAAATATATATGATTATTGAATTACTTTATAATAGAACAAACTTTTATGTAATTCAATTTTTTTTTTTTTTTTTTTTTTTTTTTTTTTTTTTTTTTTTTTTTTTTTTAAGTGCACACACATGTTATATTGTCATTACTCATTGTTAACTATATTTTAATGTTAGTTTTTTTATGTAACTATTATTTTCATTTTAACTAATGTAATTTTATTTCATTATTACTTAGATGGCATTCTATGTTTTAGCAATTCATACTGTTTAAACTTGCTAATATGTTTCATTTTTTGTGGGTGACTAACATGAACATCGATAATTATATTGCTAAATAAATAATTTTCAGTATTTTTTTTTGGTCATTTATGGAACAACTAAATGGAATTTTCTAAAAATTTTGCCACTCACTAAATATAGCAAATTATCTCTTTTCGTATTTAGTAGATTTCTTGACGTTTCAAATCCAAAATAGTACATTTCTTGGCATATACAATAAAAGTTTATCAAACTTCTAAAATTACATGGCAACAAAAACACAACATCTTAAGTTAAACCTTCCTATAACATGAAACAACAAAAAACAAATGCAAGAACAATAACTACTTTACTCTAGAAAATAAAAGAAAAAACTAGTCATATCCTTTATTGAACAACTTCATTACTCGTCTCCACCCAATGCAGTTACTAGCCGCGGTAAAAATCGAGGCCTAACTAGACACCAAATCAATTTAAGTTAACGCATATATAAGCCCAAGAAACAATAGAAAATAAAGTTACAAACTTCCCAGCAAAGCCATTCTGGCCAAAGAAGTCGAAACTTTACATCAAGATCCGCGAATCAAAAGCTCTCAAACTTAATTTCTTGCACAACACTTGATCGTTTAATAAGTTCTACTAAGTTACTGCTTCATTAAGGCAGTCGAGCATAATTTAACACATTCTAAGCATCAATCAAAAGTTCTCAAACTTAAAAATCTTGTATAAGACTTTATCGTTTAATAAATTCTAATAAGTTATAGCTCTATTATGGCAGTCGAGCATTCTCAGCATGTACAAATGAGTTAAGATGATTTTTCTCAATAAAAAATCCAAGGTGGAATAGTATAAATTATAGCATCAAAACATCCAATGAACACCTTGAGTCCCTTGAATTAAAACAAAAATAAAATACTTCCATTCTAAGTTCCACTTGATGTTTACAATACCAAACAATGACTTTATTCATTATTCTTAAACGAAAATTCCTTAAACATATTTACAGAACCATTTCGTGTTTGTAACCGTTAAATTAACTATCCTAAACAATTATATAATGATTTAACGGTTATAAATCCCGACGGAATAGTTCCGTAACGAGACAGTAGCATTTCACAAAAATATTATCATATTTTGTAATTTTTAGTAACTTAAAAAAATAAAATAAAATAAATACCTATGCTACCTGGACTCGGATATGGGTGGCGTATCGAGTGTGGAGATATGAGCGTCCGACTCGTCAATAGTTTAAAAATCTTGAACATTTTAGGCTAAAATGCCACACCCGACACTCATACCCACACCAGTGTCGACACAACATGACACGAGTATTGTTCCTAAATAGAAGAGTCCGGGTAACATAGATAAATACGAGACAATATGAAAATCACAACAAACTAATTATCTAATCATTACATATTTAACCAAAATCTCTAACGTTGCACTTTGCTGATTTTAGTAACTTCTATTTCTGAATTTCTCAAAAAATAATAATCTTTTCCTCATCATCCCCATTTTTTTACCACTTTTCTTCTGGTTTTTAGACCAAGAACACGCACACGCACACATTCCAGTTCAAATCAAAATCAAATCAGTTTCCTCTAAGCGTCAAGCGATTCCTCTGAAAATCCCCAATTTCCTCACCCGCAGTTCATGTACTCATCCAAGAAAATTTTTGATATTTTTTATTAGAAAAGCATAAACAGACCCTTCATCTGCCCTTTTTTTTATTCCCTATATAATTGGACGATCTTTGTGCTTTCCCTCTTATATTCCTTGTTTTCGAGGAGAAAAATCGAATATTCTATAGTCAAGTGTTATTCGATTTGCTCTGCATTGCGGCCATTATTTTCTTGAAGCTATTGGAGCGTGTGTCATTAGGGTTTTGTTTAGGATAGCTCGATCAACTAATCTTGTGGTGTTTAGGTCTCCCTTCTAGTTGATTTGCCTCGACCGGACAATTGGGAGCTCTGTATTGAGGTTTTGAATAGCCAGTACGTGAATACGATATTTGTTGTAGAATTGGCGCTTAGAGTGTTACCACGTAGGTTCAGATTTGTCTGTGTATGTTGGGAAACTTGGATTTGCTTGAATATGCTTTAGTTTTGAATTTTTGCTGGTTGTACTGGGGAAGGATTGTGTTCCTTTTTCCCTTTTACTTTGAATAGGATTTTAATCTATTTAGTCTTTTGCTGTTCCATCTAGGTTGTAGAAGAGGTGGTTGTGTATGGGAGAAAATGAGGGATGGGCTGAGTCAGGTGGGCCATTGCCAAATGGGCTTTTGCCCGGGGCTGGACCAGTGTTGCGGACCCTTGATTCAGAACGATGGTCGAGAGCAGAGGATAGGACTGCTGAGCTCATTGCCTGCATTCAGCCCAACCAGCTTTCTGAGGAGCGTAGGAATGCTGTCGCAGAATATGTACAGCGGCTCATTACAAAGTGCTTCCCATGCCAGGTTGTTGGAGTATTTATTGGGTGCCATTTTAGTCTTCACGTGAAGTGCTGTTTTACTGAATGAGTACATTGTATGTACTTCTTTGTTAAAATACATTTCTATGTCGTAATTGGCACTGAAGGTTTAATGCATTTTAAAATGTTTCCTTATTTAGAATTTCATTTTTCTAGCTTGGATCAGAACACCTGTAGGGATACTTTGGATGCAAGAGATGTGAAATGGGTAGGCTTGGAAATACTGCTTGGCTCTAAATTGTAGACATGAGACCTTGTGATTTTGTGATGTTCTGAAATGTAAACTGGTTCTGCCCGTGGGGCTTTCCTGTAAGAGGAGAGGGCAGACCTTTAATGATTAACAGAAGTGTGTTGTATATCACGAAACATAGATATGTTAGCTATATGGGAAGTTCTCCTCTTTATGAGTCGGTTTGAGTGACATTATTGGTGCAATGATATGTATGCTGGCTTCTCCCTTTTTTTTTTTTATACATATATTATTATTGCTGTTCTTCTGTTTTAACCTATTTCACTGCTATAGGTCTGCACCTTTGGTTCTGTACCATTGAAGACTTATCTGCCTGATGGTGACATCGATTTGACTGCTTTCAGTCATGATCAGAATTTGAAAGACAACTGGGCCAATCAGGTTCGAGATATGCTACAGAATGAGGAAAAGAATGAGAATGCTGAATTTCATGTGAAGGAGGTTCAGTATATCCAAGCAGAAGTATGTTCTCTCTTAAATTCTTTATCTTCAGCTTGTGCTATTGTGTATTCATGGTCCTTTATGTCAGATTAGCTGCCAGTGTCACAGCAAAATAGTGAAATGCACTGGCCTTAACCTAGAGGGCCTTGAACTGTGACATCTAATAATCGTTCACTGCGTGGCATTGTTAATTTGTTACCATATACGAATATTTCTGGATATCGAGATCTCTAGACAATGAATTTCCAGACCCTTTTATATGGTATAAACCTTCTTTTGTATGTATAAGTTTGTTGCTTGGACTTACCAAAATGCTCTGTGGAAATATTTGCCAATAATTTTTATGCTTGTTCCTATATCTGCTGTTACATAATATTTGTTTTGTCGCCTGATTTTATACTGCAGGTGAAAATAATTAAATGTCTTGTCGAAAATATTGTGGTGGATATATCTTTTAATCAAGTTGGTGGGCTGTGTACTCTCTGTTTCCTTGATGAGGTGATTACTGGTTTACCACTTTACATCCTTGCTCACTAGTGAAATTATCTAAAAACATTAGCTATTATGATGCCAATACCTAAAATGACAGATTTATTATCTTAAAGAGCCTTGTGATTTTCTGCTTCGTAGGTTGATCACCTAATAAATCAGAATCATCTGTTCAAACGTAGTATTATCTTGATCAAAGCTTGGTGCTATTATGAAAGCCGAATATTGGGTGCTCATCATGGTCTCATATCTACCTATGCCTTGGAGACCTTAGTTCTTTACATCTTTCACGTGTTCAACAATACCTTTCATGGACCTCTTGAGGTGACTTAATTCTTCTTGTGCTAATGTCTCAATTTCTGTTTCCAATTGCTCTTTTGATATACCTTATTTACTCTGCAGGTTCTTTATCGCTTTCTGGAGTTCTTCAGCAATTTTGACTGGGACAATTTTTGTGTCAGCTTATGGGGGCCTGTACCTATTAGTTCCCTACCCGATATGACTGGTTAGAGCTTCAGGACCTTTTTGCTTTTTATGGATAATTACACATACCCACTTTAGATTTGATGCAATTTGGAAAATACACAATCATCTTACGAACTTGCAAATACTTCCTTAACTTACCACAAGTATTCTACCAGACAAAAATTCTATTTTAGAGATGCAATTCGTAAACTTGAACATGTAATGAGGGTATTTGTAGTTTTCATGGTAGCTGGGATTACTGGTAATTATTTTTAATCTCAAAGGTATTTGTCTGTAAGTAATCCCTTTGATTTTTAATTGGCGATAGTCGTTCTTGAATTTCCTTATCTGATTTGCAATATTTTACAGCGGAACCTCCTCGAAAGGACAGTGGAGAGCTGCTACTTAGCAAGTTGTTTCTTGATGCTTGTAGCTCTGTGTATGCTGTTTTCCCAGGTGGCCAAGAAAATAATGGACAACCATTTATTTCAAAACATTTTAATGTGATTGATCCATTACGTGTCAACAACAATCTTGGACGTAGTGTGAGTAAAGGTAAGCTTTGCTTGTTATGTGCCTCATCTTTCTAATATGCTATGAGCTCAATATTGTCTTTAGTTGTGAAGCTATTTGGTGCATTATGAAAGCTTCTGTCAATCTGCCTTGTTCATTAGCATGCATTAGGTACTTAATGTTTTTTCCTTGAGTTGGGTGAAGAACTTAGGTGCAATTGGAAATCTTCTTTTATTTCTTGAATTAATTTTCTGATCGAAAATGATAAAAATGTTTTTGGAAGTAGAAATAGATATTTTGAGCGTATGATTCGATTTGAGGTGAAAAAGTAATGATGAAAATTGATTTGAGATAAAAATAGTAAACTACTTATCATTTATGATATGCTCTCGTTCGCATTCTTAGTTGGTCTATGTAGTTAATATACGTAGTCATTGATGAAAAAGTATTATTGATTTTTTTTTTTTCGTTGTTGAGGTGTTGTTTTTTTTAACTTCGGTCATCACTTAGACATCTGGTGTTATATTTGTCTTCATAATAGTTATCTATGCTTGGAGAATGGTAAGAAGTTTTGGGCTTTAGTTCCGTAACTGTGCCAATGTGAAATCATGACTCATGGAATCTTTTAATTTATGTTATTCTCTCAATTTCTCAGGTAATTTTTTTAGAATCCGAAGTGCATTTGCTTTTGGAGCTAAAAGACTGGCCAGATTACTTGACTGCCCAGAAGAAAACTTGAGTTTTGAAGTTAATCAGTTCTTCATGAACACATGGGATAGGCATGGCAGTGGTCATAGGCCTGATGCACCTGGGGTCGATTCATGGCGCACGGGATTACCAACTCCAGGCGTTCATCATGAAAATAGTAATTCTGGTAATATCTTGAGTAGGAACAATGTAAATCAAAACAAAACTTCTTCTCTCCATGGGACGGAGGACAGGGTCACTCATGGTCATGGTGTAGCCTCTCGCACGAAAAGTCTGAAAAGTCAAACCTCAAACAGCTCCGGTGCCTCTGATCAAATCCGAAGAGACAATACTTCTGATTGGGTGTTGGTCAATGAGGAGTCTCAGGGAGGTCCTAAGGCTAATCGCGGGCTGAATGATGTTCATGGCCGGTTACTTGCTCGTACGTCCTCTAGTCCTGAACTTACTGTTGCATACAATGACTTCCCTTCCCAAACACGGCACAACAGGAAACCGGAAGCAATAAACACTCAAGTCCCATCCAAACAGAGCCTCGATATGCATGCTGATGGTTTGGCTGAGGAGTTCCAGTCCACCAGTGGTGGAATGAACCAGGAAGAACAAGATATCGTGAACATGATGGCGTCCGCCTCACTTCAAGGTCTAAACGAGCAATTTCACATTCCATTTAATTTAAACTCAGGCCCCTTGCCTTTCTCTATCCCACCATCTTTCCTGGCCTCAATGGGTTACGCTCAACGAAACTTTCCAGGATTTGTTCCGGCGAATAATATTCCGCTGTTCGACCCATCGTTTTCAAATTTGCAATTTCATCCTAATCTACTTTCGCCTCGTTATTTTCCTGGTGCTGGGGTGGCTTCTCCTTCAGAAGCTCCAGTCGAGCAAGGCAATGATAAATTTGGCTCTGCGGAGGTCATGATTCATGAGGAGCTCGACAATGATTTCTGGCACGAGCAAAATGTCGGATATAACCCTGAGAATGGAAAATCCAAAATGTCTGATGATAAACGGCCGGCGTCGGTTTCTGGTTTGAAATATATTCCCCCACATCGATTGAATAGCTCTGATAAGGCTAGCAGAGTTGAGCAGAAACATCCGAGGGAAAAACATGGCCCGGCCCGGCAAAATACTGGGAGCATTTCCATCCAGGATGATAGGATCAGTGAGATTTATGCAGAAGAAAGATCGGTAAGTTCAAGATTTTCGACAGCAACTCATAGCAACTCTTTGAGGAGTAGGGCCTCTTCAGAAAGCTCCTGGGATGGATCATCAGCTAAAACACCTAAATCTACGAAAGAAAGACGTGGAAAGAAAATATTACCGTCTGCAGAATTAGCTAGTGGCCATACCGGCATCGGGAAAGGCAAAGTGATGTCTGACCATATGGCTAATCAGCTGGAGAATGAGAATGCCGAGACACTGGAAAGAAATTATGTGCCTGAGTCACTTTCTTCTCTACAGATCCCATCTCAGAACATGTCTTCTGGCTTTGAGGTTGCTCGGGTGAGTGGGCCAGACTCGGTGATGCCTTTTGCCCCAATGCTTGTTGGTCCCGGTGGCTCAACACAAAGAATGAACGACAATTCTGGGCTGGTTGCATTTTACCCCACTGGGCCTCCAATACCATTCCTAACAATGCTGCCAGTGTACAATATTCCACCAGAGACGAGTACTTCTGAATCATCAAGTGGCCATTTTGTAGGCGATGACACCTTGGAGAACAGTGATTCTGGTCACAACCTTAGTCCCGAAGGATATGATCACCTGGAGGATTTAAATCCTTTAAATTCCTTGAGAGCGACAGCTACTGCTGAAACCTCAGAGAAGAAAAAACCTGATATTTTGAATAGTGACTTTGCCAGCCATTGGCAGAATTTACAATTCGGGAGATTCTGTCAGAACCCACAACACAACGGGGGCCCGTTAATATATCCTTCGCCTGTCATGGTCCCACCTGCTTATCTGCAGGGTGGACGATTTCCATACGATAGTTCTGGTAGACCTTTTTCTGCCAATACAAACCTTTTCTCGCAGCTTATGACGAGTTATGGTCAACGCCTGGTCCCTGTGGCTCCTCTCCAGTCAGTCTCCAATAGACCTTATATTTATCAAAACTACATGGATGGTATGCCAAGATTCCGCAGTGGGACTGGGACTTACCTGCCTAATCCTGTAAGGATACCCTTTATGGTTGTGGTCATTTGCTACATGTGCTTTATTTCTTATCTTATACGTGTTCGTCTTGTGAATTAGAGTGATTGACTCGTTTACTTATGTTTAATTAATGAAACTAACTCACACTTGGTTTGTTTTTCCTTTTATCTGTCATGCTAATATATGTCAATGGAAGTTGTGTATATGGAGTTATGTGATCTGATGGATGTATAATTACTGAAGCCCCTATACCGTAAATGTTTCTATCTTTTTGGATTAAACACTTGCAAGAATTGTTGTTGTTGTTGTTGTTGTTTTTTTTTTCTTTAAAAAAAAAAAGATAGATGCTCTTGATATGTTATGTGTCCTTGGTCCTATCTCTGTGTGTGGTATGTAATTTCTAAAATGACTTGTGGTATAATACTTTTGTATGCTTGGCTCAAGAAGGTTCCCATCAGGGAGCGAAACTCGTCTAGTACAAGAAGAGGAAATTATAGCAACTATGATAGAAATGAGAACTATGGTGACAAAGAGGGAAACTGGAACTCGAATACAAAATCTCGAGGTTCTGTACGAAACCATGGCCGCAGCCGAAGTGATAAGTCAAATTCCCGAACTGACCGTTTGACTTCTGTCGAGAATCGAGCTGACCATTCATGGAACTCATACAGGCATGAAGCCCTCCCTTCTTATCAACCACGTAATGGACAGTTGAGCTCAAGCTTTAATCAAAATGTTCCTCAGACAATGGCATACAACATGTACCCGTTATCAGCTACAAATCCCAACGGAGTTACTAATGGGCCCTCTGTACCACCTTTCATGATGCTCTATCCTTTTGACCATAATAATGCTGTTCACGGTGAGCAGCTTGAGTTTGGTTCTCTGGGCCCAATGGATTTGCCGGGTATTGATGAGCACTTACAGCTGAATGAGGGGACTCGAGCCAGGATGTTTCAGGAACACAGGATTCATGGGGGTTCTGACCACCATTCTTCACCAGATCAACCATCTTCTCCACGCCAGCAGAGGTAACGAGTCAGAAAACACCTAATTCATCTGAGAATCACAACTTGAGATGCTCTATACCATTTTTTTCTTGTCTCAGTTTTTATACATTTATGAGCAAAATTTACAAACACCCTATGTTTGGAGTAATAACCAGACAAGAGAAGCATCTTCCGAATTTAGAAGTATCTTTTAGTCGTTCTAATTCTTCTAGCTGAAGCCTTGATGGTGCAATTATATACTAAAAGATAGGGGGAAAACTGAATATTTTTTTAGGATAATTGTAATATCGAAAGATAGTGGATTTTTTCTCCAATTTCCCAATTAATTAAACCTCAAGGAAAATTTTGTCCATCGTTCACGTTACATTTAAATTCGAGTCCATAGATGGCTGAATATTGTTTAGTGGACTAACTGGAGATTCAGTTGTTTTGATGAGTAAGAATTTTAACGAATTCCTTTATCACATGGAACACTAACCTTGAACTCATACAAATATTTGGATGCCATCTCCTTATGCAATTGCAGATATTCTGTTGTTTTATCCAGTTGGCTCATGCCTGATATTTAGATCCTTAATTATGGTTTCTTAATTTGTCGGTACATTTACTCTTTCCCTGGAAACATAACAGTTTTTCCTTAACTCGTCGATATTAATTCATATACACTTAACAGGAGGGGTTGATTTTTCCAATTTTGTGGGTTAAATCGAAACATGACCTGCCCGAGGATGAGGTTGTTGCATTCAAGTTTCTGCTGAGGCATAAACTCAAAATGGCAAGTCCAGTTCTGCTAAATATCCCTGATCTTTTACCCGGTAAAAGCTTTGTTTGTGCCTGAAATTTTGACGTGCACGAGTGGCCTCCGTGTGGCATGATTTTGGTGTGCAATATGTAAGCTTTGCGAAGATTTGGAAGCTTCGACGCATGGAGGGGCAGAGGAGTATGCTCATCACCTCACTCTATATTTTTCTTTACGCGTTTATGTCGTAGGTGATGACACATAACACATTGTAATATCATTGGATTAGAATTAGTTTTTACTTCAATTTTATTTGCAGGATAATGTTTTAAATATATATTAATATTTCTGTCCTTACAGATGATTTTAGGGTTTGGGGGATATTGTAACCACCCTCTGTATTGATTCATCCGCCACTATGTTAACTTTGTAGCCAGTATGAATGCCCAAAAAA